TGAATGAATCAGGTCCTTTCTCTTTAAACACACACACACACACACACACACTCGTTGTATTGTTTCTTTTTCTCTAGAGAACTCTAATGAATGCAGGGTTTCTTGGATTTAAGAAAATCAACTGAACTCAATTTGAAAGTGTGATTTGAAATGTCTACAGAAATCTGATTAATTAAATAGAGAAATTGTGTAATATAAATCAGGAATCTGTGAAGTCAATGAGCTAACTGAAAGTTAATGAAAGAAGAAAAGAAAGTCTTATTTTTATACAAAACTTTCTGGCCTTATTAATAAGATAATATTTTGTAAATCAAGATTTTTAGGCTTAAGAGACATAAGATATTCAAACTTATTAATCTAATCGATTGAATAGTAATTAAAACATTAGTAATACTTATTACTTTCATTCCCCCCAAAACCCCCCGGGGCTGGGGTTGTAGCTCAGTGGTAGAGCGCTTGCCTAGCATGTGCAAGGCACTGGGTTCGATTCTCAGCAGCACATATAAATAAATTAAAGATCCATCAAGAACTAAAAAAAAAATTTTTTAAAAAACAGAATTTTTTTTGGAAACTGTCATCTACCATTTCCTAGAAACTTGTTTTGCATTTATTTCCTATCCATCCCCCTAATCTGGTCTCAATCACTCACACCTTTGCAGTCCCCACAAGGTCACTTCCCTGTGAACTTTCAAATGCTTGGTCTATCATCAGAAAATGCCCTCCCCCTTCCCTCCTCCACTTTCCCCTAATCTATCCCTTCCCTTGGAAATCAGGGTAGAATAAGTGTCCTCTCCTCTTGCCACAGCCATTTTCTCCTTCACAGAGCCCAGCTCCTTTGAAGTGCATGCTATCAGACTTTTCCATACATGGCCCATTCTTGCTGCTATTATGTGCCTACCTCCTGGTCACTTCCTTTCATTCTTGAGGTTTTTTTTTTTTTTTTTTTTTTAGCACCTGGGCCACTATATTCTTTACCACTCCCCCTTCAACCATTCTTGCCAACCGCAACTTCCTCAGAGACAATCCATCTGGCCACCTGTTACAGAGCCTGCTGTTCTGATTGCCCCTGGAATTATGGAGTGACGACACAGAGAAGTCATGCCATCACTGTCTCTGGTAATTATCTAGTCCTGGGAGAGGCAGGATTAGCAAGGTCCCCCAAATGTTAAATAGAGGGGGAAACATAATTAACATGCCTCCTCAACTCCTAGCAATCTCTTCTTCCTCCCCACCTCGGCCATCTGCTCTCACAGTCACAGCCTTGACTCTGTCACCACCAACATGCTAGGGATGTAACTCAGTGGTAAAGCACTTATCTAGCATGTATGAAGCCCTGGGTTTAATCCCCAGTACACAGATACACATATACCACCCTCTTATCACCTCCTTTTTACACTTCTACCTGGGGTGACCCTGTTCCAACAATCCTTACATTTCACTGGGTCTATGATCTTGCCACATCTTCCTTCTGCAAAGTGCTAAAAAACAGTACTGGGCATGCCACTTTTAAGTGTTAAGTAGATAAACTACCCCTGGGCCCTCACTATGTTCCTCATTAGCTTAAAGTTCAAGGTTCAGGCAATCACTTCTCTGCAAATACATACCCTCACCAACATTGCCGCTTTCTTTCCACTTAGTAATTGACTGGCAAATCCTAGCTCTGATTAAACTCTACTAACCATCACCCATCCCTGTACCTGAGTACCCAAACACTATTGGAGAAAATCACACAACACTAAATAGGCTCACAACGTGTTTTTGACTCAGATCTCAAATGAGCACTCAAGGCTGTACAATAATCATTACATTTTCCTGGTGGCTTCTCCCTCTTCTTAAAGCACAATTTTTCTCTTTTTCCAGATTGGGATGGAACCCAGGGCCTTGTGCATGCTAGGCAATCTCTCTGACACTGAGTTACATCCCCAGGCCTCTTTCTCCCTCTTCAAATGAAAATTTTACATCTTTACATCTGCTCTCTTCAAACCTCAGGTCTGTCTGAGAATCTGTCCCCTCAACCCAAGGTCACTGCTCCTCCCTCGTGTCTTGTTGTCTCCCATACTCGGGAAAAGATCAGGCTGAGAGGAAACCACCTCTTCCCTCCTGGAACAAGGGGCCCAGTGTCCACAGGATAAGCACCCCACCCTGCCCCCTTGACCACCAGCAATTCCCACAGCCTTCCCAATCTCAGGTGCAATGGTACCTTCCTGAGGAGAAGCATTCATTCCCTCCCTCCTTTGTGGTCCTATCAGAGGAAAGGGACAAGGGCTCTTTGCTCTCATGAATTTGCTTGTCTGCTTTATTGACCAGGGAATGGCTAAGGGCTGTGTCTGACTTCTATCTGTCTTTTACTCCCATCACTTGGCACAGGATTGGAGTTGAATGAACAAATGAAATAGAATCTGAGAAATCCACAAAAAGGCCACGGAGGCATTGTCAGAGATAGTTGGAGTCCCAGGCACAAGATGAACATGAGGACACGCTCTTAATGAGAAGCCCAGCCTCAAGCAAAACATTCACCTGTCCCCTGGGGCTCTGCCCCTCTTTCCTGAAAAGTAACTTTCCCAGGTGCTTCAGAAGAATGAGTGATAAGTATTCTGTCTGATCTGTAGTATGGTTAGCCAACCTACTTTTCTTTATCGCGGATGGAACTCAGAGGCACTTGACCACTGAGCCACATTCCCCAGCCCTGTTTTGTATTTTATATAGAGACAGGGTCTCACTGAGTTGCTTAGCGCCTGGCTTTTGCTGAGGTTGGCTTTGAACTCGAGATCTTCCTGCCTCAGCCTCCTGAGCCGCTGGGATTATAGGCCTGTGCTATGGGGCCCAGCCCAACCTACTTTTTTAACATATGCATTGGTTATTGAAATAAAATTCATATAATACCAAAATATGCTGGGGGTGTAGCTCAGGGGCAGAGCACATGCCTAGCATGAATAGCACATAGTTAGCTATTATGCAAACAATGCTGGGCATTATACAAACATTAACTTATTTTATCCCTCTCAATGACAATAAAAAGTAGGTAGTACTCTCATCCCCATTTTACAGATGAGAACACTAGGCCCAGAGAGGGAATTTGCCAAGTCTCACACGGCTAGTAGGGATGGAGTTGGGATTTAACCATTTTTAATTGGCTTCAGCATCAGGTTTTTCATCATTGCCAGATTTACATCCAGTCTTGAAGCACTTTGTGATAGGGTGCTTTTCTAGGTCAAGAAAGAAGGGACAATTCCAGGTCAAATCTTCCTTTTCAAGGACAAGTGACTTGAAATGCTCCTCCCCCTAGATATATAAAATGGCAGTGTCTTAGCAGCTATTTTTCTAGGATTAGGGTGGAACAGGGTCCTTGAGACAGATATTATCTTCACTTTAAAGAGGAGGAAACTGAGGTTCAGAAAGGTGACAAACTTTACAGGTTTTTTCCCCTGGGCCACAGTGATCCTAAGCACTGATTCTGGGCTGAGAGTCTGGACCAGGTCTGGCTGGCAGTCACAAGGAGTCCAGTGTCTCCCCTAGAGTCATCAGGATCCTCTCTGCCTGGCCAGCCTGATTCCATAAGAGGCTGCTGGGCCACTTGTGAAACAGGAAATAATGACTTCAGAATGCTCAGGGTTACAGGATCAGCTGTGGGACTCAGGTATGGTCTGCTTGGTAGCCTGATTTGGTTAACCACTACCACTTGTCCTTTGGTGGGAGGGAAACTGCAGAGAGAGTTTGCGTTGGTGGTTTGGAGTTACACAGTCCATAAATTGCTAATCTTCCGAAGTCCAACCCCAAAGCTCATAAGCCTCCAGATCTCCTTAACATCTTCACCTTTCTGCCCAGGAGGTGAGCACTCTTTCCCTACTTCCCCAGAGGCTGGAATGGAAGTGAAAGCTTGACATATTGGAAGAGAATTGGCTAGCCCCATCGGAGAGAATTTTTATGAAGGCAAAGGAAGCAATGTAAAATACATAGCAATCAGTGTCTGATCGGGGTCCCAACCTTGCTCCAGTGCATACTAAGTGCATATAAACTGGGTGCCCTGTTCAAGTTCTGTGCTCAGTTTCTTCATCTGAAAAGTAGGAATAATCTGTTTTAGGGATCCACAAATTATTTTTCAAAGCCTTTTAAAAATATTTTTAAATGGACACAATCCTTTCATTTTATTTATTTTTTATGGGGTGCTGAGGATCGAATCCAGTGCCTCACATGTGCTAGGCAAGCGCTCTACCTACCACTGAGCCCCAATCCCAGCCCCAAATTATTTCTTTAATGGACCCGATGGCACGTGTTAAATTCTATGAGCCTAATTGTCTCTGTCCTAGCCACTCTGCCCTTCTACCAAGAAAGCAGCCACCGACGCATAAAGGAATGGCGTGGCTTTGTTCCCATAAAACTATTTATAAAATCAGGTGGTGAGCTGGATTTGGCATATCAGCAAACCGATCCCTGATCTACCTCACATTGCTATTGGGAAGAAGCGACTGACAGGCTGTTTCTCTGCGGACTGCACCATGTGGGAGCAGCTGGAAGGCACCGAACGCGGTTAATGAAAATAAAGCTAGGAGCTCGAGAGCGCTTCCGGATGGGAATGCCCGGGGCTGACGGAGCTGACCGTCAGGTAGGCATGGGCCGCAGAGGAGGCTCGCACGCCGTCCAGAGTTCAACCGGATGATCAAAGTACCAGCACCGCTCCTTCGGCAGCCAGCAGATCGCTCCAAAAAGTTCCAGCCGCCTTCTCCAGGAGTCCCTCTCCAAGCCCTTTCGGCTGGTCCTCTCCCTCAGATCCCAGCCACAGAGCCGGACGCCGCAACTGGGTCTCTCAAGTCCCCGCCCCCAAAGCCTGGACCCGCCCTCTGGAGTCTCCGCCCCCAGAGCTCAGACCGGCGAGTGACGCACCCGGCCCCGCCCTCTGGAGTCCCCGCCCCCAGAGTCCGGACCAACGAGCAACTCACCGGGCCCCACCCTCTGAAAACCCCGCCCCCAAAGCCCGGACCGGCGTGCTTTGCGGTCGCCCCTGCCGGGCTCCGCGCACGTGTCGCCGCGTACTGGGCAGCCGCAGAGCAGGTGAGCGCGCCGAGCCAGGCGGAAGGTACCTGGACTCGCGGGCCGAGCTTTCGTCCCTAGCTTCCCTGCCGCAGGGTGTTCGGGGGCCTAGGGTGGAGGCATAGCGGAGCCCCTGTGCGAAGGTCCTGGAGCCCCTCCTCGCCCAGCCGCCCGCGGGGGAGGCCCCAGAACCTGCCTTGGCGTCGGCAGATTAGGTGCGTTAGAGCTTCGTCCAGGATCCTTCCTTTCCTACCCTAAGTTTCCTCTTTGGAAAGAAAGGCCCAAATGAGATGACGTTAGTATGATTTCCTTATTAAAACAGGCTAAGCAGTACCCCGCGTTCTCGTTTGCTGAACGTCATTGCTAATTAAACATTTTTCACAGACAGGAAAATAGTAAGTTTCAACCAAAGTTATGTAATTGTGATTATTAGGTGACATGCCCAGATGAAATGATAAGGTGTTTGGAATGTTTCAAAATAAACCAGTCAGGGATGTGGGGTAGGAATATAAATGAAACAATATTGGCTGAGTTGATAATGATTGAGTTTGATATATTATTTTCTCTACCTTTGTTTATGTTTATGATTTAGCATAACAGGTTTTCTAAAATGAGTACATTGCTGTGGTGCCTGACAGCCCATGCTCAAATATTGTGCCTGAATTAACTGTTAGGGCTAATAACAGTACTGGGTGGCCTAACTGGGAGACATTTATTTTCTCACAGTTCTGGAGGCTAGAAGTCCAAGACCAAGGTTTGATCAGGTTTGGTTTAGCCTTGACTTGCAGATGATCTCCCTGTGTCTTTGTGATATTCCCTCTGTACATGTATTTTTCTTTTTCTTTTTTTTTAATATTTATTTTTTAGTTTTAGGTGGACACAGTGTCTTTATTTTTTTATTTTTTATTTTTATGTGGTGTTGAGGATGGAACCCAGCGCCCTGTGCATGCCAGGCAAGCTCGCTACCGCTTGAGGCACATCCCCAGCCCCTGTACATGTGTTTTTCTAATCTCACTTTTATGAAGACACCAGGCTGATAGGATTAGAGTCCATCACAATCTCATTTTCCTTTCCTTTGTAATGACCCTATCTTCAAATACAGTCACATTCTGATGTACTAAGAGGCCACAATTCAGTCCATAACCCTACACTTTACTAGCCTGGGATTTGGGCCAGTCTTCTTAACCTGGCCATGCATCAATTCTCACAACTTTAAAAAAGGGGCAATCATAGCATAAGTCTTGGGGTTATGAAGAGTCAATTGTTCGTCCTACAGTCAGCTTTTTTTTTTCTAGGTGGACATAATATCTTTATTTTATTTTTATGTAGTGCTAAGAATCGAACCCAGTGCCTCACGCATGCTAGGTGAGTGCGCTACCACTTGAGCCACATCCCCAGCCCATACAGTTAGCTTTTTATCAGAGGGTTCACCTCTAGGGATTCAACCAATCACAGATTTAAATATTTAGGAACAAATTTTTTCATCTGTATTGAACATGTATAGACTTACATAATTATTCCCTAAACAATACAGTATAACAACTATATACATGGTATTTGCATTACATTCGGTGTTAAAGTAATTAGAGATTATTAAAATATGTAAGAGGATGTGCATAGGCTATATGCAAATACTAAGCCATTTTATACAGAGAAGAACATTCAGAAATTTTGGTATCTGGGGGGCTACTGGAACCAGTCCCCTGTGGTTACAAAGGAATAATTCTCTGTGTATATATGTTTAAATATCTCTCAAGTTATTAGTAGTACAAGTATATTTTCCTAATATAGCCAGCCCTCCATATCTGTGGGTTCTGCATCCAACTAACAATCAAAAATATATTTTAACTGTATCTGTACTGACCATGCAAACTTTTTTCTTACCATTGTTCTCTAAACAATATAACAGCTATATACATGGCAATTACATTGTGTTAGTTATAAGTAATCTAGAGATGATTTAAAATATTCAGAAGGATGTGCATATGTTATATATAAATATTATATCAACTTATATAAAGAACTTGAGCATCCTTGGATTTTTATATCTGCAGGGTGGGTCAGAGGTCCTAGAATCAAACCTTTATAGATACTGAGGGTCAGCTATATATGTAAAGCTCTTACAACTGTGCCTAGCATAAAGTACCCAATAAATTGAACATATGATTCATTTACAAATTAATGATAATAAGGCTTCACAATGAAATGAATGGTGGGTGGAATGAGGTAGTTGGGTACTTAGTACTGTATATGGCCATAAGAATAAAAATAAGAATTATAGCTGTTTTCACAAGGGATGTCTGCTACTAAGCCAAACACGATTGTTTTATGTATGTTCATTTATTTACTCATTGCAACTACCTTTGAGGTGGGCCACTGTCACACGCCTATTTGGCAAGTGGAGAAATGATTCTTTGAACCCATTTGGTCTGCCTGTAGAGCCAGCCCATGCTTTAAACCTCAATGCAGAATTGCCTCAGTAAAGAAGGATTTTGCTCATGTTCTCTTTTTCTTAGCCAGGTTGTCAGCAGTGGCAGCACTCATGGCTGGTCCCCTGTGGCTGGTCTCAGCCTTCATACAGAGACACAGGACAGCCCTTTTGGTGGGTTCCTGCACAGGCCTGTTTGGAGCTCAAATCTCGTACCACCTCTTCCCGGATCCCGTGGTCCAGTGGCTTTACCAGTACTGGCCCCAGGGCCAACCGGCCCCACTCTCCTCAGAACTACAAAGCCTCTTCCAAGAGGTCCTGCAGGATATGGGCGTCCCTTCTGGCCACTACTACAAGCCCTTCACCACCTTTACCTTCCAGCCTGTGAGTGCCGGCTTCCCAAGACTCCCTGCCGGGGCTGTCATAGGCATCCCTGCCAGCTTCCTTGGTGGCCCAGTAACCAACAGTGATCATCCTGTGGTCATACATGGGCAAAGAGTAGACTGGCAGACCCCAGCAGGCACCCGTCTAAGAGATGCCCTGACCCTCTCCCGTGACGCCCAGAAGTTTGCCTTGGCCAAAGAGATGGTATACCTGGAGACTAGTGCAGCTGCCCTGCAGGCCCTGCCAGCCCCAGCTTGCCTGGCAGGAACCTGGGCACTGAGTGTGGGTGCCAAGCATGCACTAGGGCTCTATGGAGGCCCCATGAACATACGAGCTGCCTTCAACTTGGTGGCAGCAGTGGCAGGCTTCGTGGCCTATGCCTTCTCCGCAGACTCTCTTACTCATGCCCTGGAAGGTTGGCTGGACCGCCGCACTGCCTCCCTGTCTACAGCCTACGCCCGAGGTGGAGTGGAATTCTATGAGAAGGTTCTGTCAGGCAACCTGGCCCTGCGCAGTCTCTTGGGCAGACGCGGGGAGAAGCTGTATACACCCAGTGGGAACATTGTCCCCAGACACTGGTTCCGCATCAAGCATTTACCCTACACAACCCGCCGGGACTCTGTACTGCAGATATGGAGGGTAGCACCCAACCCAGGCCGCTCCTGAGGTGCTCATGACCAGGACAGTTCCAGTTCATGCAAATACCACTCTGGCATTGTCTGGGAGAATCCCTTGGGACCTCTGGACCCACAGACCACAGTCAGAAAAATTATAGGCTTTGGAGTTAAATATCCTAGATTCTATCTTCTCCTACCACTTATGAACTCAGGGACCTTGGGCAAGTCCCCTTTATGAATCTGAGCCTTGGTTTTCTCAACTATAATGTGGAGAGGATATAAACTACCTCACAGGATTATAGGGATATATGAAGTCATGAATAAGAGGACCTGGCAGAAAGAGTACCATGAATAAACAGGATATCACTCCTCCTTTATCTTTGAATTCCGTTGGTTGTAGGAGTCAGGCCACATCTTCCCAACTAGGTGCTGGTAATAGTCAACCCTTTCCTACAGTGAAGAACCCTCCTCTGTCTGCCCAGTGGTCAAATTCCAGTCTTTCTCCATTGAGGTAGAGGTTAAAAGATTTAAAAGGCTAGGGGCTGAAGTTGTGGCTCAGTGGCAGAATGCTTGCCTCACATGTCTGAGGCACTGGGTTCTCAACACCACATATAAATAAATAAATAAAGGTCCATCAAGAACTAAAAAAATATATTTTTTTAAAAGAAGATTTAAGAGGTTAAAATGTGAATTTGGTGGGGCTTTTAGAGTGGTGTGCCAATAAAGTCCTATGGATGCAAATGGTACACCCAGAGAAGGGAAACCAGGGAAGAGATGGGGCACCAGGAAAGGCACCTGACCAGAAGAGGAAGGGAGGTGTTCCTGGAACACAGCAGAAGCTCTGCCTAAAGATGGAGGAAAGAACAATCCATTGCAAGTCTGAGGCTCTGCTGGGGAGTCCAAAGCAGTCAGCCTCCTGGGGTACAGAGCAGGATCAGGGCTTGGAGAGCAGAGGGGGTTAAGTGGCGCAGCTTTGCTTGGTGAGGACACTGGGGACAACAGAGGGTGGAGGTAGGCAGTGAACCAGGCATGTGTCACAGGATCCATGGGGACTGTATCCTTGTTCCCCATGAACCCTCTGGTGGTACAGAAAGCAGCCCCTCAGCTTTGATCTTTGGACAGGAGACCCCCAACAGGGCAAAGTGAGGAGAGCTGTAACCAAGACTAATTTGGCCATTCATGTCATTTTTACATTGGAAATTATGTTTTTTCTGGAAGAGTTTTGAAGAATTCAGGCATGGTGCCAGTAAAATTCAGGACAAAGGGATTAGGTCACACCCAGGGAAGGCACTTGGTGGTGGTACACAGTTCCTGGCAGGAGACCTTGTGAAAAGAATAAGCCAGGGTGGTCATGGTACACCTTCCTGCTAGGATTTCAGTGTGGTCTAGAGCTCAGTGTGTTGTGCCAACCTGCAAGTCCCTCCACCAGACCTGGGCTGGCTGAGAACAGGGGACCCCTGCTCATCTCACAGATCCCTAGCACCTAGGACAACATAAGGCATAGGCTTGATAAGTACAGAGACAGATAGATGAGGTAGAACTAGGTGAATAAGAGTCCACTCTGGCAGATAGCACTTTACAGGGCTCCTTGGGATGTCACCTCGCCATAGCTGCTACTGTACATCAAGGACCATCATGCCAAGGGGGTCAGATATGGAGTCTGAATTTGATGGACTCCACCTTCTCGCCACTCCCTGCCCCCACCCATCTACTTTTAATGTTGGCATGAGCCCAGATGGCAGCATCAGGCCTTCATGCTGATCTGCCCAAGTGCTATGATTTGTCCCCCAATGGTTGATACGGTAGAAGTTTCCCTGTGCAGCAGTGTTAAGAAGTAGAACCTTTAATAGGTGGGACCTAGTAAGGGATAATTAGGTCACTGTCCTCAGTAACGATGAATACTGATCTCTGGAAGTGAACTCTGGTGAGAGCAAGCTGTAGTTTAAAAATAATAATAAAACTGGCCACTCCACCCACACTTCCTGACTGGTTATGGGATCTTTCCTTCTTGAGTGCACTCCCACCATTGTGATGCCATCTGCCATGAGCTCCTCACCAGAGATGAAGAGAAGTTGGTCCCATGTTCTTGGACTTCCACGATATGAGCCAAATAAACCTGTTTTCTTTATAAATTACCGAGTTTCAAGTATTTTGTTACAACAACAGAAGATAAACTAATATAAGAAGGTAGCCCCAGTATGGGGGAGAGTAAACTCCAGAACTGTTCCTTACTCTCTCCTTCCATTCCCAAGTCACAGTCTTTGTCCCCACTCATTGTTCTTCCTAGTCCCCACACATGCTTAATGTGCCACTTACTTCCAAAACCTAGGCTCCCAGAGGCTTCACCGTGTGTGGGTATGTTGTCCTTTCACCCCACAGCCACACACACATACTTCTCCAGCCACAGCCAGAATACAAAAAACAGAGTTCCAGAGTCATCCTGATCCTGGCTGGTCCCACTATCTCTGTCCCTTCTGGTGTCCACAGTGCAGGGCCCAACTTGAAGCTGAGCACACATGGAAGCCATTGCAGCACATGAAGCCTAGAAGGGTATATAGTAGAAAACTGGTTCCCAAGCTGGAAATGTAGCTCAGTGGTAGGGAAACTGCCTAGCTGCCTAACATGCAAGAGCCCTGACTTCAGTTCCCAGAATGGCAAAAAAACAGTAAGATTGTAGCCGGAGGGGCTGGGGCTGGGGCTGGGGCTATAGCTCAATGGCAGAGTGCTTGCCTAGCATGCATTAGGCACAGGGTTTGATCCTCAGCACTACATAAAAATAAACAAATAAAATAAAGGCATCCTGGCCATCTACAACTACCAACAAAAGGAAAAGAAAAGATTGGAGCTGGACTTGGTAGCACACCCCTGTAATCCCAGCAGCTCAGTAGGCTGGGGCAGGAGGATCACAAGTTCAAAGTCAACCTCAGCAAAAGCGGGGCACTAAGCAACTTATTGAGACCCTGTCTCTAAATAAAATACAAAAAGGGCTAGGGATGTGGGTCAGTGGTTAAGTGACCCTGGATCCCATTACCAAAAACTAAAAAATAAAATAAGATTGGTTCCCTTTATTTTAGTGCTTTTAAGTGGTACAAATACTAGGGTGTTCAGGTCTTAAAATTACTTCCCAAAGGCTCGTAATTCCTTGAAACCAGAATCCCTCCCCACCCCTCATCCCACTTCAGGAAACTTTGCTGCCTAATACAGCTCTACTTCATAGCTTTTCAAAGACCCAGTCAGGGCACTTCTTAGGTTGCTATGAATTGGCTCCTTTGGGAAATTACAAAGTTGCTGCCCATGTAATTTCTGAAAGATGGTTGCTTAGAGCAAAGGATCCAGGTGGTCCTATGGGAAGATTCCAGGCTAGGAGAGAGGGCATTTAAGTGGGAGGTGGTCTTTTACACATACTATACTAGTCATATTTTAACTCTAGAATGTCCATTGTTAGGTTGTGGTAAGAATGACATGAGCAGACATTCTTGGTGACATTCATAGTACGCAGCCCCTAGCCATAGAGATCCCTGGTCCTGCTGTTCTTGGCTACGGGCAATCTTGCTGCCTTTGGTTCTAAACAATGCAATGCAGCAACACTGAAGATCCTGTAGTTTGGGTCTGGAATGTTCCCCATAGACCCAAGTATTAAAGACTTTGTCCCCACTTTGATGCTACTTGATCCCCACCATGGTGGGAGGTAGGGCCTAGAGGATGTGCCCCCAAAGGGATAGTGGGACCCTGCCTCTTTCCACTTTATCTTTTGTCCCCAGCTACTGAAGTGAGTGGTTTTATTCTACCATACACTTAGGCCCTGATGTGCTGCCTTACCACAGGCCTAAATGCAGCTCAGTAGGCTGGGGCAGGAGGATCACGAGTTCAAAGCTCACCTCAGCAAAAGGCAACCAACTGTGGACTGAAACCTCCCAAACTGAGCCCTGTGAGAACTTTTATCTTTATAAGTTTATTATCTTGGGTAGCAGACTAACAGGAAGGATATATCATTGCTATGATTAAGTTCACAAAAGTTTGTAACTTCCATCTTGCAAGCTGATTACTGTCTTGGTTTTCATGTCTTAATGAAACAAGCAGCCATGTTGGAGAGACCCAAATGCCAAGAAACAATTGTAGGGTGGCCTTTGACCAATACCCAGCTAAGAATTATGGACCTCATTCCAACAGTCCACAAGGAACTGAGACCTGGCAGCAACCATATGAGCTTGAAAGAGAATCCTGCAGTCCAGCTTTTAGAAGAGACCCTAGCCCTAGTCAACATTGCAGCCTGTAAGAGCCCCTGAGGCAGAGAACACAGCTAAGTTGTGCCTGGACCCTGACCCACAAGTACAGCGAGGCAGCAATTGCATGTTGTGGTAAATCATCTTGTTTTTGGCAACTTGTTATACAGCAATAGATAATTATGTTATTAGCAGATAAAATATTTTTAGAAAGCAGTGTGGCAAAACTTGATAAAATCACAAGACTATATCTTTTAGCCCTGTAATGTCAAACCTAGAAATTTATCCTAGGGCAAAAACCCAACAGACATTAAATAGTATATGCCCAAAGATGTACATAAGAGCTTAGCCATAAATATCTTTTTAAATACATATAATGGAAATGTTGAACAGCAGTGACTTAGAAAATGGTGAATATTGTTCAGACACTGAAAAGGATAATTATAAAACCTATGGTAAGAACATGGGGAAATGTTAATTATAAATAGCAAATCATTTTTTAAAATGAAATGTTACCTGCATGAAGATTATAATAATGTAAACATTGTAACCTGGGAGGAAATTCACAAAATTAAAAGTGATCCTATTATGGTGGATTTTTTTCCATGCTGGAGATCAAACCCAGGGCCTCATGCATGCTAGGCAAGTGCTTTATCCCTGAGCTACATCCCTCTCTAGCCCTGTTAAGGTGGAATTTTGAATGATTTTATTCACCAAAGTAGGAGGCAGATAAATGTGTATTTATGTGTATATATTTTATATATAACATATATAATGTATAAATATACGTGTGTGTATTTACATTGTGTGTGTATGTGTGTGTGTGTATGTGTGTGTGTGTTAAGTGAAGTCCTACTCAGAGGAGCCTGGACCTATGCCCTATTTCTTCATCAAGGTGACAGATTCTGGCATCCCTGCCTTGGCCTGTGTTCTTGGGGTGTGGCCAATTTTCTGTCATTAACTATGGCAGCCATGAAAATGTGCTGCTCAGACCTGCTGCAGGAGGAGATTTGACCGACAGCCCCAGTTGTTGTTTCTCTAGATCTGCCACCATGTTAGCACAGAGACCAGGCCTCCATGGGCTATTTTCAGCCATTTTCAGCCAGTGACTGAGCATGGTGGCAGTACCACTGCAGGTAATCTGTCAGT